TGTGAAAAAAGGAAGTAACACATGTAAAAATAAAAACACGAACTTGCACCGCAGGAAAGCTTGGAATAAGATCCCGCCTCTATCTCCCGTTCAACGTTGTGCGACCGCAATTAGATCTGCGCACTAAATTTCAGAATCTACGTTAAGCTTACAAATCATAAAAGCGTTTATTAAAAATAAGAATAAAAAATTAAATATATTTAAGTAACTCGTACACAATTTTATCTTCTCCGAACTATAAAACTTTACTGCTGTTTTATAACCGAATTTTATTAATTACATGCACAAAAATAACAAACTTTTCCGTTACTACTCGGTACAACTACAACAACAGTTTTCATATACTTGTAAGTAGTAAAACTTGAATTTTTTAAGAGCAGGTGGACATAATTTATTTAACATTTAAAGGTTTTGACCCCTTCCAAATCGAATAAAAATTTACAGCAAGAAAAACATACCTGAAATTCTAAAAGGTCAAATTTTTTCCAAAACTGCATCAGAGGCTGAACACTCCCAGCCATCTCTGCCCACGACGAATGACAACTAATTGTCCACGTGACAGCAGATCTTCTAATATAATCTCCAACCAGTGTTTCAAGCAACGGCACTAAACTATTTGACGTCACTTCATTCTGAAGCGATTGCGCTTTGTTTTTATTTTATTGCAATGAGCGGCTACGCTAATTTTCATACTAAGCGCTCTGTTTCGGGTTGGCCGCCAATAGCATTCGTTGGTGTAGAATCAGACGCACCGGCGACCAATATGGCTGCAGTAATGTGCATCAGCACGAATATAACGGGTGGCATTGCGGAGAAGTTGAAAGATAGATCTAAGTGTTATGTTACTATAGGTGATATCTTATTATTTATTTTAGGTATTTCAGTATAGAAAATTGATCAGGGATAATATTCTATTTGCTGTAACAACCAACGTTAACGGCAATGTTAAGCAGTGGAGAGCACGCGTTAGGCTTAGAACGAACTCTAGGCTTCATAAGTTGGAGTAACTAACGCGTTTTGAGTGCAAGTTATAACAAGACTTATTTTTGCTCTCAATTTTAATTTCAGTGTCATAATAGATGTGTTTTATGTATTATTTATTAATCATCTGATAAGTATTTATTAAAATAGTAATTGGATTTAGAACTAAAATTCAATAACTGTGTATACTCTACTGTTTAGTAATGGTACTACTACAGTACTAGTACTATAGTATAGTCTAGACTAGTGCTTCTTAATCTTTTCCAGTATAATTCAACCCTATAAAATTTTCACAACAGCTCACTCACCCCAGTTAGAAAAAAGACAAAAATGTACTAAATTAAAATGCAAAATTCTATATTATGACTTAAATATACATCAAACAACTAGAATGAATACAACAAAAAATAAATGTATTTATCAAACTACAACTAGAATAAATAATTATAACTAATGACTTTTTTGCTCTTGGATTTATTGTATAATTGATAATATTCATTCATTCTGATTCTGATCTCATTAACCTCTGGGTGAACCATTCGCCCAGTTGAGAAGCAGTGGTCTAGGACACAAAATTTCGGTCTATTACTAGTAGTAGTAGTATGAAAATAGATACTCAATATTAATTTTAGAATTAATTATTGATGAACACACTGAAGAAAGCTAGCACATCAGAAAGCATACTAGTAAAATAATAACTTATAACAGCTAAGATTTAAATTATTTATGGTGTATTTCATCTTATGTTATAGATCCGGTTACTTCATGATTATCTATATTGTTTTAACTTGCGTGTTAATAAATTGAGCTTTCCAAGTGTAAAAAATAAGTTTCATTCAATTATTTTTACGTCATTTTAAAGTAAGTTATTTATGTGATATGCGAGAAGTTTTATACATGTTTATAGGTCTTTGTTAAATTTAGGACGAATGTTAGCTTGACATTAGTTATTGTGTCTAAATCACAATAGATGACAGCACTATCTTGATAAACGAAGTATAACAGTCTAGGAGCTATTATTTATAAGCTGCAGTTTTGTTTGTTTAAATTTTAATGTATTGATAGTGAAATCTTTTATGCTTTTCATGTAACTAACTTACTCAAGTTAATGTTGTATGAAGAACTACTTTAAAAAACAAGTTGAGTAGTTTACTAATTAATTCTTAGATATTCAAACGAATTAAGAATCTCGTTAAAGTTAATACGTAAAGTTCTAATAGCATAAGTGCAGCACAAAATCTTTAAACTTGAACTAGTAGGCACATCACAATCCTTGCATTAATGCAGGTGACTTTGCAAAGAAAACGCTATATTAAGGTTTACATTTCAGTTCCAACTATATGTAGCTTATTATCGAAACGGTTTATGTTCATAAAACATTATATAATATAGAGATTTGTATCAGTAAGCTTAAGTATTTTAGCTTGTAAAACGTGGTAGTTATTTTTTTTAATTGCAATCTTATATAACCCCTTGGATGATAATGTTAAAAGATTAATCTCGACTATGGGGATTTTCTTTCATTCAGATTATTCGTGAAAGTTATCAGGGTTTCTATCTTTTGAAATCTTATTTGTAAGAAGAGACATTTTTGGTTGATTTATTCGTAAGAAGAAAATCAAGACACGATTTTGACAAGTCGATTTTTCAACAGTTTATAATGCCACATATTGGCAAGTTTGTTGATATTGGAGCACTCGGTATCCTCTTTTATTTCTTAAGTTACGTTGCACTCTTGACTAATCCTTCTTGGTTTGCTGTAGATATTCTGATTCAAAATATCACAGGGCAAGTAATTAGTGCTTCTTGGTGAACTGCTTTTGTTGCGTGACAGACCTAGAGTCTTTGAATGTGAAAGTCTGAAAGTAACCTACAGGTTTGTATAACAATAAATAAATATTAGACATCTCGAATTAGAAAATAAAAGGGATACTATTAACATTGTATGCAAAATTTCTTTATAAATAATAATAGAAATAAAATCGTTAAAGATATAATGTTTTAAAACTAATAAGGTTTCATAAAATATTTGTACGGACTTTGTCAAATTGCTGTGCATATTCACCAGTAGATGGAGCCATATAACTAAACTGCTTGTCAATTATTGGATATTTCCAACAAATGTTTTTATTGATAACATCATGGGGTTTGCTTAGAAATAGTCACACACATATCTGTGCAATAATGAATGTAAACCAAAAAGCTATAAAAAAAATCACTATTTGTTTTTATCAGAATTAAAAAACCATCTAACTTGAGGTTGAATTTTAGTTGCACTCCAAATTACGTTCGCTATTAAGCTCAATGTGGATAATCAGATTGTTAAGTAAGTGCGGTTGTAAATAATCCTAAAATATCTTAATATAACATAAGTGTATTTTACTGAATCGAAAGAAGAACTTCAAAATTTTATATAGAGAGTTCAACAATTTGTAAATTAAGGGTAGTGTGCTTTAAAATACTTTCTTAACTTTGACACGATTCTATTTTAAACTACTACTGCGTAATCTTGAATATTTATCTGAGTCACTGCTATTTTCGCATGGTGATATAGATTTGAACATAGACCATAGCTATTGATGATATGGTGTCAAATGTTGATCCTGTCAATTGACGATGTAATGTTGAACATAGATCCTGTTAATTGATGATACAGTTTGGATGTAGATCCTATTAATTGATGAGGTAGTCTTGACTACAGATCCTGTCAATTGGTGATGTGGTGTTGAACATAGATCCTGTCAATTAATGGTATAGTTTTGAACTTAGATGCTATCAATTGGCAATATGGTGTTGAACTTATACACTCTTTCAGTTGATGAAATTCTTGTTGGCTGGTTGTATTTATTAATCTATAGAATTTGAAGCTGTGGTATTTTCAAGTGCACGATTTCCTTTGGAGTAATCGGGTATGTTCAGTAGAACAAAAGGACGTTCGACAAAAAAAAAAAAAAGACCTGTAAAATTAAACTGTATTCCCTGACTTTTGACTGAGTTTGAAAAGAAAAAATACTGGAGGTAGTGTGTAAAAATGAAAAATATTCTTTATTGATTCGTACAAACAATCAAAATTATTGAATTGATTTTTATTTATGAGAAAACTGCTAGAGTTATATGTTACCGTCCATAATTTTGAACTCCTAACCAGACAGTCAGCAGCACCTTACTACCTATCATCTTTGCTAAGAAATGAATATCATTCTTATAACACCTCACAGTTCAAACTTTGGGGAATATTTTGTGGTGTCGCATAGATTCAAACTCGGATCGCAAGCTCCAAAATCCTGAGCTTTATCACAGGGCCATTCCTTTACTTAAGACGGATCATTTAGTAGAGGTTTGAGAGCACTTAGTGAATAATTAGTTGTGTTTCACACTGAGAAAACACAGCATTATGTACACGAAACAGTGATACTATTCTTATTGGGAAGATGTGCTACCCACATGACTGTTGGTCATCGCCATCGAAAAATATAGGAAACCGTAATCTTAAGGTATCGCTTGACTTGCTAGTGGAAAAGATCACTGGCTACTTCTACATAGTATGTTCAATTTTACAGAAATATTTCTCACTATAAAGCTTACATGTTATCACAGGTAAATAGTCAAGACAAAATAGGTAACTAGGACGAAAGGAATTAGCTACTTTTTTGATAGGCGTTCTATGTTAAAATTACATGCACTTGAATGTATGAGAACTTAAAAATATATATTAGGTTAAAGAATGAGGTATAAAGCTGGTAGTATGCTTGCATACCTCAAAGTAAATTTAAAGCCTAAAAAATATGTATAAATATCTATTCTGTTAAAACCTCGCCTGGGACATTAAAAGCATTAGAAAAATTGTTTAACAGTTAATCATTTCTTTGACCTATTAACCCACGCTTTTACTTTCTAAATTTATATTTTACTACTAGAGTAAATTTAAAAATAATATATATATATATAAAATATACTTGCTCAACCATTTTAAAACCTTGGGGAGTTTTACCATCGTCAACAATACCCACAAGAGGGCAATATAGTGCAACCGCGTGTTCGCGTATTAAGTGTGGGTGAGTCTATTGTTTCTTACTTATTTCTCATTTAAGTTTCCCAATGTATTTTCTTATGTATACTAGAAGCTAAAATTTTGTGTATATTTTAGTATCAGTATCAGGCATAAATAAGTTTGGACGTCCAGTGATTCAGTCTACAGGTTGAGGCCCGTCCAGACAGAGTTAGGCCTACAAGTTGTATTTCTCGAGTAATACTAATTCAAGTAATTGTGAAGTGGTCGGTGCTATCGTTAATACTACAGACATTAAAGCTGTACTGTAGAGGTCAGCTAAGTCCAAGCAATTAGTGTTTAATATTTCACGATGGTTAAAGAAGTTATAACAGCTAAATGTGAACAAGACTTTATTATAGAAAGTGTAAAAGCAGATAAAAGAATTGATGGAAGGGAACTAAATGAGAGTCGTGTAATGCATATAACTTTTGGGAAAACTAGAGGTTGTGTGTTGTGCACGTTGGGGAACACAAGAGTGTTATCGCAAGTTTCATGTGAAATGTCTATGCCTAAAGCTGCCCACCCAACAGAAGGTTCAATTCATATTAACGTTGAATTGTCCCCAATGGCTTCCCCAGTGTTTGAAGCTGGCAGATCTTCAGATCTTGGAATAGAACTTACCAGAGTCCTCGAGAAATGCATTAGAGACTCCCACTGTGTTGATTTGGAAGCTTTGTGTATAGTGGCTGGTGAGAAGGTGTGGAGTTTACGTGTTGATGTTCACGTGATGAACCATGATGGAAACTTGGCAGAATGTGCAGCTATTTCAGCAGTGTCTTCTCTGCATCACTTTAGACGACCAGAAGTTACAGTTGCAGGTGCCGATGTTACAGTTCACTCGGTGGAAGAACATGATCCTATTCCTCTCAGCCTCCATCATATTCCAGTATGTGTCACCTTTGCTTTGTTTAATAGCGGTCAGCAAGTTATTGCTGATCCAACGGAAGCAGAAGAGCTGGCTTCTGAAGGCCGAGTGGTAGTAGGAGTAAATGCTCACCAGGAGATATGTATGATGCATATTAGTGGCTGCACACCATTGCAGAAAGAGCAGGTTCAAAGATTTGTTGAACTTGCAGTGAACAGAGCAAAATATGTCACAGAATCCATCAAAACAAATTTGCAGCACGATGAACAGAACAGGTCTTCAAAGAATCTCGTGGGGTTTGCTAAAGATCTTCAGACTGACAAGATCCTTGCTGTACAAATTAGACCACAAAGAGTTTTCGTTCCTCCACCTCAAGTCAGTACTGAAGAGACTGTTTCTACTGATAAGGAGGTAGAAATGACAGATGAAATTTCACCACCAGAGAAGGAAGTGAAAGTTTTACTCTATGGACCAAAGACAGCTGGGATCGGAGAAGGTGGAGCCTCTCAATGGGAAACAGTAGATCTATCTATTGAAGATAACATTACAACATCAGTAGAAAAAAATATTGATTTGTCTTATGATGATGAGAGTGAGGAGGAGGTAGTAACTCTTGGAGCAGAAGACCTTCAGATAGAATCCCGGGAATCAGACAAAAATGATAAAGCTAAACAAAGACTAAGCCGTGGGTGGTATGCTAAAGATGCATTCTTTGGAGGATGGTGAATCATCTAGTTTTCCTTATATGGTTTGTAAATTTTTCAATAAAGAGTTTTATAAACAGGTATTTTTGATGTACATGTGAAAAATAGTGTTTTGTTTTTTGAACAATAAACATAATCCAGAAAGAAAATTTTAGGTTTGTTGGTTAATAAAGAAAATCAAAAACAACCTGAAATAATGATGTCATATACTCATTTAATAGCTTTTTAAAAATTTTTCTTTTTTGCAGAAAAAAGATATATAAATAAATGATTAGACACATTTGTCTGAATGTTGGATTTTTTTAAAACCAAAACATTTCTAAAATGATTTTTTAAATGCAGCACAATATTGGTACATGTTAGAATATAAATAATACTCACTAGATGTTAAATAGTTAAGAAAAAAACTGGGCAAAATTTAGGATTGGGAAGAATTTTAGTGGCTATAAAAATTCATTCTTTTGGATTTTGTGGATAGAACTTTCATTAGTAGCTATATTGTTTAATTTTGTTGTGCTTGTAAAGCCTACTAATAAGCACGTAAGGATGGAAAAGAATGAGAAACCTAGAATAGCTATAGCAGAAAGGTAAATTGATTTATAACTGAATGTGATAGTAAATGTAGAAGAGAGAAATAAACATTATTTTTAATACATATTCAAATACTTTGTCAGTATGCGATGTATGTATCTGTATATTAAAGAAAGATTGTTGGCCTATGTCAGTGGTCCCCAATTATTTTCCACACTGGGCCACTTCAGATCATGATCATCCGAGTTCCAAATACTTGGCCTGTGTTAGTTGGGGAATACATTATTCCTCAAGTTCGGATTTGCTTGTATGTGCGATATCTGATCAGAGTGAAAGCCACAAGTTAAGACTTGGATAGCCTGAATTGGCCTAGGGGTTGCCTTATTAGAGCTCGCTGGTCTGTGTCATTACTGAATTCATAATAAGAATCTCAGAAATCAATGATTCATCTCCAAAAGACTGCTTTGAATATTTATCAGTCATCATTGCTTCAACTGCCTAAAATTTAATTCACCTAAGTAAAATTACTAATTATCATTATAATTAATTATATTGTAATAGAATTAGTAATTAGACTTAGGTCATCTTACCAATTACTAACCACGACAGTGACCTTTACTCATATCGCTGGTTTCCAACTTGATGATTTCTATCATTTAATACTGTTATGCCACGTTATTTCTTGCATTTAGCAATTTAACCTTTTTTTCTTTTTTCCCTGTGTGTGTCAGGCATTTACAGGTGTCTTTCTATTAAATTTTAAAATGATACTTTGCTACAATGTCTGGTTATAACAGATGGTAGGAAATACATGCAAGACCAAAAAAAAAATATTTTTTGTTAAAATTTCATATCACTTGAGCTGTTGTAAAAAGGCTAAAAATAATAGGAATTGTTTTTCTTTTTTCTGGAGTGTAAAATAGTTGAAAGTGATATGATTCAGTTGTTCAAAAGTATTAGGAATATAAATAGCTTGTCTGTGTAAAGTCATGTTTTATTTTCAGTCTAATAAGATTGATAATAACGATTTGAATATTGTAAACTTTGAAAAGTGTTCAGAATTTTAAACTTGTGAATTTATTGGAAACTTATTTTTGAATGTAGATAATAATTTTTTTTAATTTACTAGTATTTTAAAAATAAAAGGTATTCATAAGTTTAAGTATGTAACTTGCTCCACTATGACTAAAAATGTCCAATGTTTAATTCTTGATTTTGAACCATTGCATTTATTTAATGAGGAACTTATGAATGCAGTGTCAGTACCCTGCACAGGAAAAACTATCATGCTTAACCCCAAAAAAAAGTAATCTTCAAAATTACTCAAATGTAGAATCTTACTGCTAAGTTTATATGCCTTACATGAGCTTTATAAGTTTTCTTGGCAATTAGTGGAATTTACTAATTGATTAATTAACAGGTTCATTAATTGATTACATTCAGTTGATTGATTATTACATCATAAAAGCAAAATATGCTTATAACGCTAACAATTGGGTTTTGGTACGCATGATGGACAGAGCACAGAAAATCGATAATGTCAATTTTTCAATGACTTGGTGATTTTCATGAGTCATGACACCAATTGATTAAGCTGAATAAACTTGAATTAATCAAAAGTAATGATAGAAATCCTAATGAAAATCAGTAATAATTAGAAACTTTATTATTTTCATGACTCGGTTAGTTTAATCACAATTTTGATTAATTTATGATTGGAATAATTGAAAGCAATAATAACTGGAAACACTCGTTTTTATTAGTTGATTATTTTACATGATACGGTTTCTGGTCATGTGTAATTAATTTAATTTAAAATTATAAACTTAATAAAAGAAATTGTAGTAGAGATGTCTGAAGTTAATTTGCATAAAAATTGTTAACTTTATCATTGAACTCTCAGGTAGCTATTGGAATACACTCATTAAAATTCCATTCTTCACAAAAAAGTTTACCCAATTTGACAAAAGTTTTTCTTCATTACCCATTCAAACCGTTTTCAGCCATTATGAGTATATATAATTTGCTGAAATAAAACTATGTACCAAATTTGTTTGACTTTCCCTCTTTTCTTTTTTCTATCTGCGGTACAAAACAAAGTTAATTTTGGCACATGAATTTTTTACTTTTTTTTTGTATTTTGTTTATTTCATCGTAGTAAGTGTTTCTAATTATATAGAATATATTTTTTACTGTACTTGTATCTAAATTTTCCATATTCATAGAATCAGCAAGTTCTTTCAAAGCATTGTTTCTTACAACTCTGTTTTTATAATTAAAATCATAGAAATCCCAAAGGCAAGGATATCTTGCATATTGTTCCACAAACTTAACAGTATCTTCAGTGCTTCACTTATTCATTTTAATATTAATAAACAAATCGGAGCTCATTAATCCCGTATTCAATTCACAAATCTGCATGACAATTCAGGGTTGGTGTCATGAAAAGTTGGACCTGTCCAACTCATGTAAGTTATTTGCACCACTAAGCATAGTGCATGTGTGTTGTTGATGTTTCTAGTGACGCCACCTAGTTTCATAATGTAAGTTTGTCTTAATACACTAAACTCCATTCTGTACTTGCATGTTCCTGTATACTTTGGTTTTGCAACAACAAAATAAACTTGGCTGTTGTGCCTACAAATAATTTCTGTAAGGGTTTTGAAGGAGGTTAAGGATTGGATATGTGAGCCACTTGCTATTATTTTTTTTTTAAGTCCCTGATAAGTGAATAGGTGCCAGAGGGTTGGAAGTTGGCTAATGTTACTCCTTTTTTCAAGGGAGGTGATGAAAATTGTCCCAGTAACTATAGACCCATTAGTCTTACATCAGTTGTGGGAAATGCTTTGGAAAGTCTGATAAAAGATGCTTTGCAAAGTCATTTAACAACATTTAGAGTTTTATTGGATAATCAACATTGTTTCACTAAGGGAAAATATTGCCTTACAGATCTTTTGATATTCTTTAAAAAGGTTACTGCATATGTAGATGAGGGTAAGGGTGTAGATTTGGTGTATCTGGATTTTCATAAAGCATTTGGCAAGGCTCGACATAAAAGGTTTGTAAAGAAAAAATCTATAGGTGTGAGGGATAAGTTAGTTAATTGGATAGAAGAAAGCAGAGGGTTGTTACAAATGAAGTTCAGTCAAACTGGATTAATGTCACAAGTGGAGTACCTCAGTCTTAGAACCTTTGCTCTTTTTGATTTACATTAATGACATAGATGAAGGAAGGGTCAATAAATTAAATTTTTAGATGATATTAAAAGTCTTGGATTTTGCTAGCTGTGAAGTGGATGCTGCTGATTTACAAAAGGATTTATATCATTTAGTGAGTTGGGCAAAAAATGGCAGATGGGTTTTAATTATAATAAACACATGTTGGTTATCATAATTTGAATTATAAGAATAATTTGGATGGGAATAACCTTAACAGTGTTATGAAGGAAAGGGATCTTGGTGTAATAGTCGATCAGTCTCTAAAGCCATCCAAGCAGTGTGTTGTTACTAGTGGTATGGCAAATAGGATTTTAGGTTGTACCTACAGAAATATTGAATACAAATCTAAAGAGGTTATAATTTTATTGTATAAGTTACTGATTAGGCTACACTTGAAGTATTTTGTTCTGTCTTTGGCTCCTTATATTAGGGAGGACATTGAATTGTAGGAAAGGGGTTACTAGAATTGTGCCTGAGATGGGTGGGTTTGTCATATGAGGAGAGGCTGAAATCTCTCAAATTGTTTTCTCTTCAAATAAGAAGAGTTAAGGAAGATCTTATTAGGTGTTTAAAATTGTAAAGTGGATTGATAGTGTTGATGCATCATCTTTTTTCAAATTTAACGGTGAGAATAGTAGGACTAGGGGACACATAAATTTGGGCAAGGTATGAGTCATCTTCAGCTAAGACAGTTTCACTTTTCTAACAGGGTGGTTGGCCTTTGGATATTGTAAAGGCAGTAAATTTAAGTGAGTTTAAGAAAGCTTGATAACTATATGAATAATAAGGGCTGGCTTTGAGTTTTTTTTTCTTTTAATTTTATTTTACAATAGTTATAGATGAACAATAAGTCCCTTGTTGTCCCTAAACATTATATCATGTTAAATATGTAATGTAACATTTATTTTATATTTATGAGTGTCTTTCACAAACCAAATCTGTTTTTATCATTAGATGAGACAGCAACGTCTAGAGGGCAAACATCTTTGTTGGGCCCCCTTTCTCTTTTTTTTTAATGATTTTTAAGAACTTATCAGTATCAAGGATACTGTTAACTACCACAAGAAAAAGACAGTTGGAGTTTCTCAGACACGTTATGAGGAAAGAAGAAATTGAAAGCCTGATCGTAACTGGAAGGAGAGAACGTGGAATACAAAGGTTGACTTATGTCAAGAGTTTATCCAAGTGGATGAATGTATCGACATTGGGAATTCTTTTTGCATCAAGGAGAAGTGTTCTGTGAAAGACCTTGGTCAACAACGTCCTGTTTGGATGCTGTACACAGAAAGAGAGAGTTTAATAGTAAAAGATAATCAGACATTCTCAAAGGACAA